CATACATAATATCAGAAATTAAATTAGCGATTAATAAAGAAATGTGCCACTGCATGATTTCTATTTTAAATTCCATTAGTATTAAAAAATTAAACGATATTTATTAAAAAAAATCGCATATCAGAAGGCAGTTTGGTCATGTCTGCTATATTAGAACTTTGTAGAACTTTCTTATTTCGAAGCAGGAAAGATGAAAAATGAGCATTGCCCTCGCCGGGTATCGAACCACGGACCTCTCGAATACGCGTCAAGCGTGCTGACCACTATACCACGAAGGCATGCTAAGAAGGCGGGAGAAATATCTTATATACTTCCCCTTTTTTAAGGGCGACTGGGGTTTTAGGGGACCCAATCGCCAAATCCTGGTGCTGAAGAATCATCATTCGCCACCTTTTAGTTCGGGCGCCACTGTAGGGACATTAGGTTATGTCGAAGCAGGAAAGATTAAAAAAAGAGCAATGTCCTCGTCAGGTCTCGAACCACGGATCTCTCGAATACGCGTCGAGCGTGCTGACCACTACACAACGAAGGCATGCTAAGACAGCGGAAGAAATACCTTATAACTATAGGTATACTATATTACAGAGACTAATAAGAATGAGTAAAACAAGGAATCCTTCGACATTCACCCACGCCTAATAGCCATTATGCGTTCTATTAACCTTTCTCCTAGCACATTACTGAGATTACAACTTAGCCCCCTTTTAAAATAGTTCATTATCTCGCTTCGCACCAACTTTCTCAACACCATTTACCCAAACAGAAAACGGAAATAGGATATTTCTCAGCAAGCCATCCCTAAGAGGGAACGTGATTTATTTTCTGACCTTTGGCAGCATCTGCAAAACCGTTATCTCGTCTGGCACAAAAGGAGACGAGCCATCGGACACTCAAAGCGGTCAGTTCTCGTTAGCACTTCCCCGGGAGCCATAAATATGCCATCGCAATGTTCGGGTATCAAGTGACCGGAGCGAACTGGACGAGAGAAGAAAAGCCGTCTGGAATGAAACACAACACTTTTTTCCCAACTGGGCGGAATTATCCGCAATAATAAGGCCAAAAATGGAGCTTTTGCTACTGGATGAAGCTTTTTTTTTTCCGTGGAGGGTGCTAGATGAAAAGTAAATTTCATGTGGTCATTTATTTCCTTGCAAAAACAGCGATTCACGAAATTCATGCCAGTATATTAAAGCATAAACTTATTCTACGTACGATAAAAAAACCTGGATTTTTCTAATGGAAAATTAGAGAAAAAAAGAAGAAAGAAGCTTTGGAAAGGAAGAGCATGACATACTTTCCACAGGGCATCTTTTTTTAATAATCATACTTATAATTAGCTAGACGCTTAGCTAGGAAATTTCCTTTTTTAACTTCCTTGTATGAACTATAAAAAGGAAGTATTGTAATCGCGAAAAATTTCGGGTACCATATTTCAACGAAAATATCCATTTTGACCGCTATCGAATGCAATTTATCGATGTTTCTGCGTCACATATGTAAGTAAGGACAGAATAAAGAACTCTTTTTCTCCAAGCCAATTATAAAAATGATTTAAAATGAAGAGAATTGTTCGTCGCGTCTGCACGTAGGTACGTGTATGTACGTATCCCGGCATAACTCAAAAACGAGTAGCCTCAGAACGTTCGAATTTTATATATAGGACTGCTATAACATGTAGATGAGCAACTCGTATTTTGGTTATAATCGGCTGCACCAAAAGTATATATGTATAGATATACTCACTCTGTTACTCGGTTCCGTGAGCTCAGTTCCTTTATTCTTATATGTTTGTAAATTGTGCATTTTTTACTTTAAAAATGATTGAATTGTGTTGCTCTTATCTTCCGGCTAAGGTCCTTATGCGTTTACATAACCTGCATGCAGTAATTGTGAAATTATCAGCAATTTGAAAGTTTTTTAAGTGTGGCTAAGCCTACTTTTTGATTAGCATGGCAGCCATATTTGTTTACATTTGGAACTTGGTAGAACAGTGAATTTGTTTCCAATCTAGAGGAAGTAAGCTTCGCAACAACAAAATAACGTCTTCTTTTATTATTGCGAATTAAATTATGCTTAATTTATTCTGGAATTATCATTTAAGTTATTAGCTTGTTTCAGCGTAGAAACTGTAATTTTAATTGTAAAAATTGTTTATTTAATTGTCTTAATTGTACTTGGTGTTTTATATTTTTCTATATCTTTCAAATTTTAATGAAATATTCTGCATTTTTATGTATTTTTGCCTTGCCGCAAAGTGAGAACTGAATTAATAAGTAGCGCATGCGCATTAAGTAAGCGGTGCTGAATCGTCTGCGAAAAACTGTTTCTTTTTTATTTGTTTAATTTCTTTTATACATCGTTTTAGATTTACTATAGTACCTGAATAAAACATGTGGGAAATCTTCAGATTTTTTTTGCACTCTTGAGTTATAAAATGAATGAGATGTAATACTGTTAAGTGCACTTAGCGCCGAAGTTTCGCTAAGGTAAATAAATATAGTGGACTTTAAAGAGTGCATTATTCTACTGTTCTTTTATGCGTTATCCACGAAGTAGATTTAATTCAAAATTCGTTAACAGCTAATTGAATGTTTAAATGAAACGCAGGGAAAAAAAAAAAAAAAAAAACCCTTCTGATTTAATATTTCTCACAAGGAAGTCATGTGGTGTACACATCAGATTTTTCTATTTGAGGTATTTGAGTTGTTTAATTATTTATGATTTTAGCGTTCATTATTGATTAATTATTTTTCGGATCAACTGACCAATTCGTAGACTTTCTGTAAAACGTTCATTGAAAATGACGGACAACAGATATAACATTTTAGACGACGTAAATATTAAAACGGATATCTTAGATGTCTGGATTTATTTCAAAACAAAACGAATTATCTCTCGCGTTACAATATTCAATTTGATGTGTAAACTAAAAAAAAAAAAAAAAAAAAAGATATTAGCAGTATCACAAAATAATTAAAAAAGAGCATATCTTTAGAATTTCCGATACACAGTCTCGCGCGCTTGGGGGACTATTGTTTACGTTTTGCGTCGAATTACTCTAAATATCCGTTTCACTTTTCAAACTGTTGCCAACCAATATTGTCGCCCAGTATTATATTAGAAGAAATTAAATAATGAAGAATCTGCATCAATGTAGGTATGTTTCTCGCATTGTGATAAAACAGCGGTACCTAGAGACATCCAGTTTTGAATAACGTAATCCTCCTACGAATAAGGGCGTCTGGAAGCCCAGATTTGAAATTTGTTTTATTATAGATTTCATATTTTGTAAAACCTTAACGAACTTTTCATGAACAAACTCAAGGATTTCAAAGCGAGCAAAGACAACGTTGTACAGAAAAACCTTTTTATCTCCAGCGCGTGAGACTGAGTATCGGAAATTCTAAAGATAGGCTCAATTTAAAATTAATTTGCGAAGTTGCTCTTTAACTGAATTTGATGGATTAAGTGCGAAGAATTTGATATTTGATAAATAAAGGTAACACAACAAAATGTTAAAATGACCCCTCTCTGGACGTAATTTAAAATCTGAAACCTTTCAGATTTTCTTTCTTTCTTCCTTTATTTTTATCCATGCAATGTTGCCACTGCTCGCTTTGAAATCGATGAGTTTGTTGATCAGAAATTCGTTAAACTTTTACAAAATATGAAATAAATAATAAAACGCATTCCAAATTCGGGCTTCGAAATGCCTATATTCGAATGGAGGACTACGTTATTCAAAACTGGATGTCTCTAGGTACCGATGTTTTTCCGCAGTGCGAGAAACATATACATACATTCGTGCAGATTCTTCCTTATTTAACTTCTTTAAATATAATGCAGGGCTCTAATATTTGGTGGGAAGAATTTGAAAAGGGAAACGCCACAATATGACAAAACGAAATTAATAGCCATTTAAGCAAAAAAAATATTAAAATGAAATGCAGTAATTTTATATTTATTTTATAAATTAAAACTTATCAAAATCAGCCAAAGGCTTTAACTTTTTACTTCACATACACTAATTGTACATCTTTTGTTTTAATTAAGAATTATATTTTTGTTTAAGTTTTCACCTTTTAAATTCATTAAACTGGCCGTTTTGTTATAATTTAGCTTAATTAACTGCACCCTAATTAATTTCTAATTAATTACGCATATGATGATTAAGAAGTTGATATCACAATAGAGTGGGCAATATGATTCAAATAGAGAAGGAACTTGTTGCATAAAAGGTATAACCGACGTAGTGACATCAATTAGGCAAAATTTTCTTCACTCTTGAGAAGAATAGTCCTAATATGAATTTCAACACCGTAATGACAGAATCTGTGCGCTCGTTTTGATTACATTTGTATTTTTTCTATATCTTATTGCAACACAATGTGTAGAGACATTAGGCATTTTCGGAAGCCGGCAAGGTGAAAATTGAGCAAGGCCTTCGCCGGGAATTGAACCGCGAACCTCTGGAATACGCGCCCAGCGTGCAGACCACCACACGACGAAGGCATGCCAAGAAGGCGGGAGAAATATCTTATAATAGTTCTAAATACGATCTTCCACACAACTATTCCCACAGATCCTACCAACTACGCAACGCAAAATCTTGGGGAACAGTGGCAAATGTAAAACAGTGTGGCCAGGGCAACAGTGCCAAATGTGAAACAATATCTTGGGGAACAGTGGGAAATGTGAAACAATATCTTGGGGAACAGGGGAAAATGTGAAACAGTATGCCCAGGGGAACAGTGGCAAATGTGAAACAGTATCTTGGGGAACAGTGGCAAATGTGAAACAGTATCTTGGGGAACTGTGGCAAAAGTGCCAGGATAGCGGCACACACCGCTTGGAGAATAGTGCCCTTGGCGATTTGCAGAAAGGTGCCAGCACAGTCGCAAGGTTTATGAAGACATCCCTCGTACCTTATTGAGGAATCTTGGAGAACAAAAACGGATATTTATCGAAAATGAAATGATATAGTCATAAGCGACACCTACCGTGAGATGCTGGAAGAGCCAAGCTCGCATTATATTAGTAGCTACTTTGGGGAAAATGCCTCTCTTCTTTTGTCTCTTCTTGCCTCTCTCATCGTCGTCATCATCGCCCGAACCGTCTCCCGAGCATACACTAGCATCACCTGCGGAAATAAATGGCATAATAAATCACTACATTAGGGGCAAAGATTAGATAAAGTAACACAGTCATACATAGACCAACTAGTGGCCGAGAGGTTAAAACCATTCAATACTGGATACTCCATCCAATTTTAAATCCTGGCTAATAAGTTGGCTGCATGCCGGTTTAGTGATCTCTTGGATCTTTAAACCCGTAACGGTTATTTTTCGTTTATTTGCTATTGCTCGCTCTGATTCATTTAATATTTTTTTAACGACGATGAGGAGGTAATTGCTTAATTAAGCAAAGGCACTCCGTAAGCCAACGCCTTGGCCCGTTTGTAATGTGGATGTTACGGTGAAACACCGAAATCTGGAGAATGTCGACTTTCACCGGTGAATGTCAACATTCACAAAGTCGCTTGGTGTATGTCCGAAATATTTTCCAAATACTCTTATTTCCGACATACACCGGTGAATGTCGACATTCACCATGTACTAATGGTGAATGTTGAACATATGATAATATTATATTTCCTTCTCCGTAATTCATTCGCGAAAAAACGCACTTGAGACTCAGAATAAGAACTTAACAATATAAGAACTTAAAACACACAGTACATTCAAAATGAGAGAGGAAAATAATAGAAGTTATAAACTTAACCAAACTATGTGATTCAAATCTTATTTATTGAAACAACTTAAACTGTTATGACACTTTGAATTGCACAAGAGGCCCTTGCTTTTACGACTGCATTTATTTGTGGAACACTTACTTTTGGAATGGCAGCGTGTACATATACTCCTCTTTTTTCGACCTACACCAGAGCATATCTGTGACTGTCGACATACACCGGTGAAGTTCCGAATGTACAAGAATATAAAAAAAATATTCGATCTTTCACCGACGTATTTGGCGAATGTTGACATTCTCCGGTGAAAGTCGACATTCTCCAATTTCGGTCTTTCACGGTAACATGGATGCGAAGAGCATTTCATGTAAAAAGATAAGCTGTCCTTTTTAAACAAAGAGTTTGCCACAGTTAAAATAAATGAAAATAATCATCACTTAAAAAAATTGGCGGCGTGCTTTCTCTTTTAGTTTAAAGAACTGCTGGTGTTTAATGTGTAGAGCTACTAACAGAAATGTGAGGAGGTTATAAAACAAATAAAACAAACAAAAGATTTGTTTGTTTTATTCGTTAAAAACATATTTTATTAATTTTTTTGCTGTAATAAAAATAATAAATTCGTTTGTTTTTAATAAAAACAAATTTAATAAAATTTGAAATTTGAAAAAAATTTAGAACAAGAACGAAATAGAATAGTTCAGAAACAGAATAGTTTAGAACAACATCGAAAAATGTTGTTAGACGTTGATATAAGTGATTATTTGAGCAGAGGTTTACTATTAAACCATGGATAAAAGGACGATAATTGACACTATGCTGCTTTCTTCAAGACGGAAAACAGCAAAGACATAACAGTAAGAATGTTAAATAGAAAACTGTGCTTTTTATCAAATGCAAGCAGTTAAAAGTTAATTTGCTATATTGGGGGGGGGGAGGAGAAAACTTTTTTGCCTAAAATTAGACATTTAGTTAAATTTTAGTATTCAGATTTTAGTAGATATTTCCCCGCCCTTCTTGAATTCGAATGTCATTTCCCTGCTAGGGCGCCGTCGTCAGCACATCAACTTGTAATCTGATCAAGGACATTATGGCTGCCCGCGTACTTTCCTAAAATCGCAGCCCCCCCCCCCCAAATTTGACAAAAAAATGTTCAATGATGAATTTTTTATTTCTTACACACCCAGTACTTACAAATGACAAATTGTGTAAAAAGAACTTACATATAACAAGTTCTTACAACGAATTAAAAAAATTTAGGCGTCGTATCGAGAGAGTTCGCCGCCGCTGATTTTGGCCGCCCGCCGTACTTTTACGCGATGCTCCCCTGCTAGAAGCCCACCAGCGGCCGAGCGGTAAAGACGTTGACTAGTTTGGTCCGACCCCCCCCCCCCCCCCCCCCCCCCCCCCCCCCCAACCCCCCCCCCCCCCCCACCCCCCCCCCCCCCCCCCCCCCCCCCCCCCCCCCCCCCCCCCCCCCCCCCCTTCGATCCGCGAATCCCGCGACGGGCTGGCTGCATGGGCGTTTTCCTTGGTTTTCCCCATGTGTAACGTGTATACGAGCCAGTTTCCCTTAGAAAGTCCTCCACGAAGGCATCCCTCCCTTTAGGCAGATAGCCCTCGTGTGCTTTGCCATAATTGAATAACACCTGCTAGGAACGGCCCTGGATCTTATGGCTCGTGATCGATTCCCAGCGATGGTACATTTCAATATTTCCAAAACATCCGCTTCAAAACTACTGATATCTCCATTTATTGCAGCTATATGCTACCTCAGTGCCTTTCAATTATACTCCTGAGAATTATCTCAAATGTGTCATCAAATTATTGATCTGGTAAATTAAGACGGACAAAAATCAGAAGTTCAAACAGATTTTTACTAAACCACCTTTCGTTTTTTACTTCCTTGTACGAAGTAAAAAGGAAGCATTGTAATCGCGAAAAGTTTCAGGCATCATATTTCAGCGCAAATATCCATTTTCACCGCTATCGAATACAATTTAACGATGCTTTTGCGTGACATTTGTACGTAAAGACAGGATAAAAGACTTCCCCTCCCCCCCAAAAAAAATTGTAAAACCAATTTAAAATGAATTCTGAAGAGAATTTTTCGTGGCGTCTACGCATACGTACTTATGTACGTGCGTATGTATCTCGCATAACTTAAAAACGAGTAGCCTCAGAACGTTAATATATATTGTATACAGGACTGCTATAACATGTAGATGTGCACCTCGTATTTTGGTTGCAATCGGCCGCACCAAAAGTGCATAAATATATGTATATATATATATCTACTCTATTACTCGGCTCAGTGATCTCAGTTTCTTTATTCTTATATGTTTGTAAATTGTGCATTTTTTGCTTTAAAAATGATTGAATTGTGTTGTTCGTATCTTCCGGTTAAGGTTTTTATGCCTTTAGTAAATCTGTCTGCAATATTTTTTAGAATTATCAACAATTTAAAAGTTGTTAAAGTGCCCGCTAAGCCTAACAATTTTTTCCATGGCGGCCATTGCTTGTTTACACTTGAAACAGCAGAAGAGTTGATTTGTTGCCAATCTAGAGAAAGTGAGCTTCGCAATAACAAAAATAACGCCTTCTTTTATTATTGCGAATTAAATCATGCTTAAACCATTCTGCAATTTATTCGAGGAAATAAGTGTTTAAGATTTACTTCGTAATTTTCAATACAGACATCTTGAGTTTTAATGTATTTTTGCTTTGTCGTGAAGTGAGAACTGAAATAACTGAATGAAAAATACTCAATCGTCTGTGAAAAACTGTTTCTTTTTTGTTTTGTTTGCTTAATTTCTTTTGTACATCGTTTTAGATTTATTATAGTATTTGAATAGAACATATGGCAACGATTAGATAATTCTTCAAATGACATATAATTTTGTACATTCTGAGTTATAACATTGTTACTTTTTTTTCTGACACCAGTTGTTACGTTATTTTCTTCCTTCACGTTCGTACGGGGTTTGTAGATTTGGAGTGAATAACGACGACACTTGATGAAGTATCGAAACACACTTTATTTAGCCAATACTGATCAGGACAGCTTCAAAACACTTTTACAGTCGTCGATGAACTACTATAAACACGCTGGAGCAATCAGCGACACAAACTTCACACTGTCAGGCAATAACGGTGGATACAGCTTCACTGCAAAGCTCCAGAGTACAGCTTCCGACTCTGTTTGGTCGTTCTCCGAACTCCACGTACTCTCGAGACTCTCTACGCGATGCACTCGACGATACACAAGAGTATAGCTTCCGACTCAGTACAGTCTAAGACAAAAACTCGACGATGCACTAAAAGTCTCTCTCCATGCACTCGGCGCTAGACTGCGCGACACTCGCTCAATGACTGACTATCAGCTAGACGAGACGAGGCACACACACTCACTGACTGCGGACCAGGAGGGTCTACATAGCTTTCGGCTTGTGTTCGAGAAAATTCTGGGCTAAGCCGGTAAGAACTCGTTCCAGAAGGTTCTCCATCCGTCCATGGCATATCGCCAATTTTGTCGCCAAATGTGGCCACTTTGCCTTCATTGCTATCCTATGGCAACCCTAAAACTGCTTTGCGGAGAAGCCATCTCACCGCGCCTGTACATTTCGTAACAATATGGACGAAATATAACGCTGTTAAGTGAATCTAGCGCCAGAGTGTGGCTACGGTAAAAAAATAGAGTGATTTTAAAGAGTGCATTTATTCTATTGTGGTTTATGCGCTATCGACGAAGTAAATTTAATTCAATCCAATAAGTTTAAATGAAATGCAAGAAAAAAATGAAAAAATAATTTAATATTCCGTACGCGGAAGTCATGTGGTGCACACATCAGTTTTTTTATCACTAAAATCAAAATGGATAACTTAAAATTCTACCTAACAACACTAAACATTTACAATTACTTGGCACAGTGTACAACTATTAAAAGCTATCAGCTTTAACATAAAAACTCCTCAATTAATGGCTTTTTTTAATTTTTCAAAAATTACCTAAGCAGTTTTATTTAACAAACTGCACAATACGTTATGGCGTTCCCTCCTAATGTCCTTGTAGTGAAAAAGGTGAGCACGTGGAAGATCCATGGCTTTAATTTCAATGGAATTAATTTATCAGGTTTCCTGCTTCCAAAAATCTGGTTGTTTTCATAACTGCAGAGGAAGATCATTTATCACTTAGATGCCTAGATTGGCAAAAAACTCCCAGACTTGACCAATTTCCGCACACGAACAGTTACCACCGGCGAGGAAGTTGTAGGGAATTATATTTATTTTAAATAATCAGTTCTATTTAATTTTAAGTTCTTTTCTACAAGAGTTCATTCCCTTAATTGTCAATGTCAGAATCCGTCAAAAGTCTTTAATCCGGAGTCGTAGGG